AGTAATGGGAACCACTCACTGTCTGATCTGTGAGTGCTAAAATTATACTCTTAGCCATCCAGTCGTTCTTTAAAAGTAAACATTAACTTTCTTAAAAGTGCTTTAAAAGTGCAAACACCCAGAGCTACAAATATCTGCATGTTATATGATGGCCCATCTTTCACATCTGCACGTAGCTGGACTGGCCATCGGGCATACAGGGCATTTGCCTGGTGGGCCGATGTGTTTTTTATTGTTTTACTCTGATGTTTGGCGGAGCTTCCACAGAGGCCAGCAGGTGGATGAGGGAAAGTGGAGGAAGGGACCCGTGGTGGCCGTCGGGTCGGCCGCGTTTCGTATTGGGCTGAAAAGGAACGCGATCTGTCCCGTACTTCAGCTAGAATGAAAAAAAGACACAAAGCTGGAGTTATTCTGTGTCTTTAGGCTGTCAGCTGCCTCTACTTCTCTCATTCTCTCTCCCTTTCTCTGCTGTTGCTACTTCAGTCACGAAACTGGCTTTTCTCTCTTGTTTGTTTATTGCCCACTTCGCGCCAGAAACAGGAAACCAGCAGTGGTTGCGCTAAACAACAGCAGCACGTTTAACCTTGATCAGCTGTTGTTAGAATTTATTAAATATTACTCTCTAGTATCAGCTGATGTTTGCTGGAGCCACAGCTGTAAAAGCTGCTGGTCATGATATGTGGTGAGAGGGAAACATGAAGATGAAACCAGGAGATGTCCTTACTGGATCATCAGAGCTGTAAAGGTGATGGAGAAACAAGTTTACCTTTTTAGATGACATGAATGAGTTGAAGGGAAGTTATAAACTGTTTCTGAGAGACAACTTACACCAGGATCCTTTTTTACGTAGCTGACAGCTGGTAACTGTGCAGGGGCGGGTCTAGCAAAGTTTTGCCAGGGGGCCAGGAAGGGCATTAACAGGGAAAAGTGGGCATAAAAAAATACTTTACTTTCTTCTATTCATTTAAAATGTCTAGCTTTTAACAAATAATTATCTGAATCTTACGACCAAAGTTTTTATCAGATGTAAAATGTATAGAATTCATACATATATACCAACAAGACACAACAAGACACCGATTTTTTGTCCCAGTCCAGCCCGGCATCTGCACCATTACTTCAGTACAATTATGACCTTCCTCTAGGTAAAGTACATAATGTACCCTTTGTACTTGTAAGTAATGCTTTCAAAAAAATCCGAAATATTCGGAATTCCTCTTGGAGTTGTTGTAGGTACTCCCTCTGTAACACTGTAGTGTGTATGGTCCAGGTTACATATTTATTCTTCCTATGAAACTAAACAATGCTTTCCATAAAGCAACCTACAACATTATCATCAAACTAACGTCAAACGAAGTGTTCGGAGCTGCCAGAGAGTAACTGGAGGGGCGTGGGTTTTACTGGACTGAAATGACACGAAGAGTGGGGGAAAATCTGAGAACACTGAGAAAAAAAATCTATGCTAACTAAATCCGGACCGGCAATGATTATAGATGACGTCATTGAAACTACCCTCACAATTGTGCTCACACGTGCACACAGTTGGATTACACACATTGCCCCCCCCCCCCCCCCCCCCCCCTCTCGCGAGCGAGCGGTGCCGAACGAGCCCCGGCAGTTTAAATCGCTTTGACATTCATCACGTGTAACGCCAATAAGCCCGGTTCTTGAAAGAAGAGAGAGAACGTCGCGGAGGAGGAGGAGAAGGAAAGGAGCGGACAGGAGGAGGAGAGGAGAGCGGTGGGAGGACGAGGCGAGTGTGTAGTCCAATCTGTTCGGTGTGCACATGAGTGGCGTAGCGAGGCCAGTGAGCGCGAGGCAGGTTGTGAATTCCTCCACCTTCCTTCCCTAATTTCGTTTCTTTTCTCTCCGGAGCGAACGCTGAGGTCTGGGACTATGGAAGATGTCTACCCTTACAGCCGCAGCCCAGCCTGGGAGGAACTGGTTAGTAACGTTCAAAACTGGTGGAGACTTTGTTTTGAATCGCTCCGCATCCCATTCTACTTTGAGTTTTTCCAGAGAAAGGAAAACAGTGAGACGTCTTGCGTGGTCTGTTTGTGAGTTTGCACACTTTGGCGGTGTTTGGTCCGCTAAAGACTGCGCGCGCGCCTTTACCCCCTCATTGGCGTTATTACGACGGGCTGTCATTCTGTTAAATAAATAAATAAATAACTAAATAAGTGGCCCGTTTAAATTGTGTCGTGGGACGTTCGTAAGTCTTAGTTAACAGTTCTCAGATAAACAACAGTTTTTGATTCTTTTTTCACCCACACAGTCTGTCCATTTCCTTTAGTTTTAAATCGAAGTAAAACTGTTGTCCGCTTCATGGAAATTCAATTTAACGCTGTCTTGTCAAATCAGTTTAGCGGTTTAGTTACATACATAAAAGTGAGTTATTTGGACTTGGATTATAACACGGAAAAAATTGTATATTTATAGAAAAATATTGAAGAAAATACAGAAAATATGCCTTTGTGGCCTATATGTTCATAACTCCTATATAGCTCTCATTAGGCCCACAACAGCAGCTATAAATAGAAACAAATATTATGAGACTATTTCTATGAATTACAGTGCCACTACCATATAACTCTTAGCTAGTTATCACTGTGATGTGTATATTAGAAACCTACTTATAATAGTCTTTGTGTGCATATTAGTTATTCAACATCACATCAGGCAAAAACAACAACTCAAAAGTAGTTTAATTTCTCTCGTGTTTGTGTCAGACAGCCGCTAGGGTCTGCCATTCCACGGCCAAGTTCCCCGGTTTACGGAGTGGATGAGGCGGTCTGTAGCCTCAGTCTGGACTGGCCGTGCAGGCTGGAACCATAACCAGCAACAAAACAGAGACTCGGCTCCTTTTTTAATATCTATATATAAACGCCGTGTAGCCCATCCCCGCTGTGCCGCGACATGCTACATCCCCTATGCGTTTCCCGGCCCACACACACTCCTGCAAACACAGCCGTCTTTATTGTCATAGAGGCAGTGAGAGATGACAGCGAGGAGAGACGCTTCCCAGCCGCTGAGCAGCTCTCGCCTCCAGGAGAGGAAGGGGACGGCGGAGGCGAAGGCTAACCCCGATTGGTTTTATCCCTCCCCTCGACAGGAGCCGGAGAAAGGGCCGCCGTCCGCGGCGGGGATCCATGCCCATGTGGTGGGCGCTGTCGCCGGCTCCGGCGCTACGGAGGAGTCCTCCGATAGCGAGGCAGAGCAGGAAGGCCCCCAGAAACTCATCCGGAAAGTGTCCACCTCAGGGCAGATCAGGAGCAAGGTAAGGCAACTGTCGCTTCTCTGCTTGTATTGATATCTGATTTAGTGTGTGTGTTTGCTGGGACTAGCTGCTCCCTGGCTGCTGGGTTATCCTCAAGCAACGTTTGCTATGACAGCACCAAGGATCTACCTGCTGCTTTGGACATTCAACAGTTTCATTTGTGCGCAGAGCTTTATTGTCTTTCAGCCTTACTGATGCCTAAGA